ATAACTTCAAACTAACATTCAAAGTAACTTCTGACCAAGATATAGCTCAGCAGCATAGTACCTGCCTGGCAACTGCAAGGTCCTGAGCTCTATTCCTGGTACCAAAATTTAAAAAAAAAAAAAAACTGAAAACAAAATAACTTCTCCCCCCGCCCACAGCATCAACACCAATATGCTACTAAAGGCTATAAACCATTGGCAGCATCTCCCTCACTGAGACAGGACATTTTTAATCACCTCTGACTGTTTCCTGACCCTCCCATTCCTTAAATCGCTCTTTTGGCAGAATACAAAATGGGCAAGAAAGCTTCAACCTATACAAGGGACATCAAAAGACCAAAGACTGGAAGCTCTTTACAGCTTTTATCAGTTGATACTTGTTAACACACTTTAAATGTTCAGAAAAGTTATGTATATATAAGGAAATTGGGCAAATGCAGAGCGTAATTTTAAAAAACATATAAGATACTTGATATATACATAGGGACTGTACCATCCAGGAAGTTGTAAACTTTACTAACCCTAAATAGAATCTGATTGCCTGCTACACTGGGTTCTCCCGGGAAAGTTGTGGTGCTGTCCAATCAGACATCGCGGGTACACATCTGCCAGTTTTTTAAGTCTTCCTTTCTGAAAATCACTACTACATGGCATTGGTGTGGTGACCCCAGCAGGAGACAATGCACATTAGAAGCAGTGTTACCCCGCCATCCTCAGCTGCTCCAGCTGCCCCAGCTGCCCCAGCTGCTGCAGCCCTAGGAGGCTGCCTTCCTCCCCCATTTTCCTCCTCTGTGCACAGAAGGAAAAGCAGTCAGGCACAAAGAATGAAATCAAAGGTGGGAATTTAGTGTGCAGGCCAGTTTCTGGCATCACAGAATGAAAAGAGGAGAATGGGGGAGGAGAAATCAGTCTGTACCTCTGAGAATCAGGATATAAAAATAATACAAGACACAAATGAAGCATTTTATGAAACATCAGTGGAAGCCAGTGCTATTGGCTTCACTCAGAGGAAAGTGAGAGGTGGGTAGCCCACAGCACGTGATGAAAAGATCCAAACATAACGGGGTTCCTGGAGAGTCGTTTTCTAAGACGAGGTTTGGTCCCTGATCGCTTCTCACTAGTAGAATTTTCTTTTTGAGTCATGACTTTGCTTTTATAGAAACAGTCACAACCAAAATATTTTAAAAGGTTACCATCTGAAGTAGAACAAAAACTTCCTTTTGTCCACACTGTTTCCTCATCTTACACGATACTTAAAGGCTAAAGCTTCAGACAGCTAAGTTTTTCACCCTTTAATTTTTTTATCAAACTGAAATATGTACACAGAAAAGTACACATTACATAATATTCAGCTTGAAGAATGTTTGCAAAATACTGTTTTGTAACTCGCACCCAGATTAAGAAACAGAACGTTACCAGCAACCCCAAAAGCCTCCCTTTCGGCCCTTTCCAGTAAATAACTCAAAGGTAGCTGTTCTTTTTACCTCGAGCCACATTGTCTGATTTTGTTCTTCAATAAAATGCATTATACTGTATTACTAGTTTATCTGACTTGTTTCTCACAGTGTTGTGTTTTTGAGATGCATTCATATTTTCAAGTAGAGTTGTAAGCCATTCACTTTTATTCCTCTATTACATTCTATTATTTGCATATAGAACATTTTAATTTTTAAATTATATTTCTTATAAGTATTTTTGTTGTTTGTGGCTTGACTATCCCAAATAGTGCTGCTATAAACACTCTAGTCTGTGCCATTCAGGTTCCTTTTTATGTATTTCAAATGAAGTAGAACATCTTTGGTAGGAAGGGAAAAAATATTATATTTGAATCTAATTGACAAATATTTAAAACAGAAGTATTATGATATCACTGGACAACACTATGCAAATATGTTCTGATGTTATCCTCTAAAAAACTATAATCCTATAATGGTAAAATGAGAATTCCAGTGAAAGAAAGTCTTGGCATCTACTTTTAAAATAACAAGTGCATTACCAAATTAATACAAAGAAGCGAATGACATGGGTCTTTTCTTTTTTTAAACTCATATGCTTATCATTTATTTCTATTAAAAATAGAACCACAGTGTGATCCAGGAAACTCACTACTTGGCATATATATTCAAAGGCAATGAAATCAGCATGTCAGAGACATCGGCACGCCCACGCTTGCTGCAGCATTATTCACGGTAGCCAAGATGTGGAAATGACCTAAGTGTCCATCAACAGATAAACAAAATGTGGTACAGATGCACAGTGGAATACTACTCAGAGTCAAAAAAGAAGGAAATCCTGTCATTTGTAACGACACGGATAAGCCTGGAAGGCACGATCTGAAGTGAAAAAGGCAGACACAGAAAGCCAAATACTACACGAGCGCCTGATATGTGGAATCTAAAACAGTTGAACCCTTAGAAACAGAGAGTTGAATGGTGCTTGCTAGGGGTTAGGGAGGGGCAGGAGGTTGGGAAGATATTGGTCAAAGGACAAAAACTTTTCATTTAGATTGAAGGAGTTCAAGAGATCTATTATACAACATGGTACTATAGTGAGTAATGTATTTGTACACTTTGCTAAGAGAACAGACTTGAGGTGTTTCATGCCAAGCTGAATATTTATCTCGCTTTTAAACATGTCTACTTGGCCAGTGGAGGGACTGGGGATTTAGCTCAGCGGCAAAAGGGCCTCCCTGGCAAGCGCAAGGTCGTGAGTTCGTTTCCCGGTACCGGAGGGAAAAAAAAAAAAAAAAAAAACTTGGCCAGTGGAACTGAGCTCTTCAGAGATTTGAAGTTCCATAGTCAGGAGTAAACTCTTATTCCAAAATTCCCTTACCTGTGCTCCCTAAGATACTCATTTACTTCCACTAGGAAGAAACATAAACCATAACTAAGAATGATATGTTGGAGATTTAATAACTAGAGAGCAAAGAAACGTGCACTTGACTTCTCCTGAGCCCAGCTCCCTAAGTAATTCACCGTATCAAGAGTCAGGGAGTCATGGCCCACAATCATATCCAGCCCATGGTCTGTTCTGAACAGTCCACAAGCCATGAATGGCCTCACATTTTTCAGCAGCTGGAAATAATACTTTTGTAACACAAAATTATAAATTTGTGACACAAATTATATAAAATCCAAATGTCAATGGCCTTATAGTTTTTCTGGAGAATAGTCATATGCATCCATGTCCTTCTTCTCTGTACTGCTTTCATGCAGCAGCTAGCGTCAGTAGTTCTGCCAGACCATCTGACCTGCAAGCCTAAACGATTCGCTCTCTGGACCTTTTCAGAAAAAGTTACCAACCCCTGAAGTATATAAAGTCTGGCCATTCTGCTTCTGCAATTTCATAATGTACTCAGTATATTCAAGTATATCACTTAAAATGACCATTAAAAAGCAACCATTTTCACTAGACTTTGTAAAACAGTCCTTATTGCAAATGTTCTGCCACACTGCCCACATATACTGTTCTAGTGTTTAAGCAAAACCAATGTTTAAGTTTTCCCAGCAGTACCTACACAGCCACTCTTGCATCTAGCAGAAACAAAGGGCCTTCATCAGAGAACAGGTAGCCTAATTTTGGGCAGAGAATTATGCTCACTGAACCTTTGAATTAGATTGAGCCTGAAGTCAATAATCCGATGAAAACAAGCACCCAAAGTTACAAAGAAACACAAACTACAAACCCTCTCAGGAAAATTCAGCCAAATGCATCTTTCCTTTTAGATTACTAGAAAAAACTTTGTCTAATCTATTGAGTTCTTTACTCCCATGTAGAAGAAGTCTCCACGTACCTGCAAATGTCGACTGCTCAAAGAGTTGCTACATCTATTAATATCTATTTGTAAGCAGTTCCTAATTTTTTCAGATTTACTGAGAGGTGCTGGGAATGAGAATCTGCTAAAGAAATTATATAAAATGGCAGCAACATAACAAGAAGTCTTATTTGATCTGAACAAATACCTAAAAGCTTTGCAAAACAGAACTGACGTTTCTGAAGTGGGACCATTAAACGTTTAGAAGTTGATTATATGAACCATCCTATCATCCCCGCATGTTTCACAGAAGGGGCAGCTGGAGCAGAGAACAGGCTGACAAGGGAAGTTCATTATCAGATTATGTTTTAAAAGTAGTAAACCTGGGGCTGGGGATTTGGCTCAGCAGCACAGCTCCTGCCTGGCAAGCACAAAGTCATGAGTTCGATTCCTAGTACTGGAAAAAAACCAAAAGTAGTAAACCTTTCACTTTTTGTCAGATGTCTAAAATAACTATAATAGGAAGTGCTCAAACAGAGGAAGATCTTAACTAGTCTTCACGAGGAATATTTTAATAGGTCCCAAAACTCTTTAACTGGCTACCAAGTATAACCTGAGCATGTCCCATTCACTCTGCAGTGTCCATATGATAACAGGACAAAGAAATGGCAAGGATCAGCTCCCAAGGGGCTTGTACACTTACTAGTGAGTAAGTAACTTCACACTAACAAGCATACCCAATAAAACTTATGAGAAATCCAGGAAGGGAAAAAAAAATCACACACTGAAATTATGTAGGAGTTCAAAGGGACTCTAATGTACTTTTCCTAGAAGGTTCTTAGTTGTTTTTGCTAATGAAGCAAACAGCCCTGCTCCATAAATTGTAGCTCCTATTGGCTGGAAAAGGAAGCAGAAATTATTGTATCTTTGCCATCTGCAGAAAAGACAAGCTCTGTGCCTAAAGCAATGATGAAACCAACTCCAAGTACCAAGAAAACTGCATGCAGAAGTGCTGGGAGGACTCAGAGAGCCATGGTGTGGACAGGGATAAGATGAGCAAAAGAAATTCAGGAATCTAAACATAGGCAGAGAAAGACTGGAACTGGTAAGACATCTAGAAATACACCCATGGAACTGGCCAAGGAGAGCAAAAAAAGTTCTAACATCCATATTTTGTTGTGGTCAAGAGGAAGGCTTAAGGAATAAGGAATATAGTGTTAAAAGAAAGTGTCTGATTTCCTGTCTTACAGGGACTCTTGTGTGTTTCCAGGACAATTATGTTCTCCACGTAGCAACCAAGGCCTTGTCCAGATCAGTTTTTGGCCTCTCAACCAATTTTCTGTTTGCATCATAAATACCTAGGCGGAAGCTTCCCAGGGAATTATAGTCTGGTGTCTTTATAAAAAGCTGAAGGAACTGCCCGGACAGGAAGAGATCATTTCAGCCCATTGAGTGATTCCATCTCAGGAGAACATGGCGGCCAGCCATAATAGCATGCTTTCTCTACCTTCTCTCACCAACTGAGATCACAAAAGGTAAGCAAGCAAGCAAGCTCTTCTCTTCCATACATACCGTAGACTTAACTTTCACCACTGATTAGAAGAGTGATTTCTCAATGTACCATCGGCCCTTGGATGGTTTCCTGTTTAAATGTGTATTTCTGTGCTGGCATGTGACTGAGAGTACATGACCTTCATAATCCTTTCTGTTTTATCAAGCCAATTGCTTCTGTGGCTATTTCTACACTCTGAGGTGCCATTGCACCCTGTTTTTTTGGAAATGTGAATACTCATTCAAACCAGCGTCAGAGCTATAATTTATGGAACACACTGACTCACTGATCTCAGCTAGCTGCCTTGGTCCTGGTTCACTTCCTTTTTTCTAAAGGGATTTTCTTTGAAGAAAATAAAAGATCACTTTAGGATTACTTGTTGCAGAACTTTTTGAAAGGGAGTTTTTTTGGAAAATTATGTGAATCCAATAGTGAAATTCTCATAGAACAAACATTCTACTCTTCAGTACACGCTGTAATTGTGTACAAAGGGCCTACAGGAGATCATCAGTGTGGATATTGCTTTTAAAGCACTTTAGCAAAAAAATGTCTTTTAATAAAACTGCTTTGAAGGGTCTGCTACCACCCAACTCTAGTCATTCACCTCTCTGGACTTGCATCTTGTCATGAAATTGATTAGTTAGATATTATAACTGTGTTTGATCATGCTGAATATATAAAACATGAAAAAACATTTTAGTCCTAAAATCAAATATAAGATGTGTTCTACTAGGAGGAAAAAATACCAGTTTATAAGCCTATGTACTAGGAAATGAATACAAATACTATGGCAATTTGTATAGAAGGGATCATTCTCATAGTCAGCTCACACAGAATCTCTCAAAATGTGATCCATTTCACAAAACTGATCCACTTCACAAGAACATAAATATAACCACTCTAGAAACCTCAAATTGCATGAATGTGGTAACTTTAATATACATTGCCCAACGTATTCAAATCTATCAGATATTTTGATGTTCTGAGCATCTCACGGACATTAGCAAATTTAATTATCAGTAACTTGGAATTGAAAGAAAACAGAGGGTTGACTGAGTGATTGCAGCTTAAGGCCACAAGATGTGAACCCTTCCTTCCTGGTGTAAGCATTTATACTTTTTTGTGCTTTATACAGTTTGGTTGCAATAAGTACTTATTTTGTCACAAAAAGAAATCTGATCAAGTGTATTTGCTCCTCTAAAACAGATTCTGATTTAAGTTCCTTTTTCTTCCATTCCCTCCTCTAACTCTTTTCAGCGTTAATGGTTTTTATTTCTCTTTTGTGGTTAGGTTTGATTTTAAACAGGCTTCTTAGGAAAATTGTGTTCTTATAAAATTGAAGGGTCAAAAGCTTCCTAACTGGAATAGGCAGGTCATACTAGAGGGTGTGAATCCTGAGGAGGGGAAGTGGCCGCCTCAGTGAGTGCTGAGAGGAGTTCTCCTACCAGCGTGTGAGCTGTGATAGACTGCCACGCCTGACCCTCTTTAGTTCATATAAAATTCATAAGTTTTCTTTTCTAAGGAAATAATAAAAGGGTTTTATCTCACTGGACAAAAGCAATTATTGAAGATATCATGTCATTCTACAAAAGCAATTAATCCAAACGGTTACTTTCAAATTGTTGTGATCCCAGTTCTAAGTATATAAGCAAACTGAGACCTGCTAAATATCATCTTTGCATATAAGTATTTTTCTTGCATGTATAACTCCCAATACTGAAGCTGTGGCTTGAGAATAAATGACACTCAATGCCAAAGCCTTGGGGAGGCTCCTTTCTTTCACTCATATTTTCTTTCTAACCTGCTACTTACAGAGTCACAGAAACATTTATGAGCTTTCTATTATAAACCTAACTTTCACAGAGGACAAATTCACAGGATGCGATCTATTTGAAGGGGATTTGTTTGAAACTAATTTTTTTCTTTTGTAGTATTTTGGATTTCTGGTTGAGCAATGCTTCGGATATTACAAAACTACTGCCTTCTTCATGTTCCATAGCTTTTCTAGTACATGGACAGTTACGGCCTATTTTTAGAAGACAAAAGCAGTTGTACCATGATCCTTCCTCAGCCTGCAGTTAACTCAATTATCCTCAGATGGGTGGCTCACACTGTGACAGTCACCTTGACTGCAAAATCTCCTCGTGGCTAAGAACTATTCCATTTAAAACAACTTACTTCATTAATGTAAACAGCATCTTTTTCACCTGACGCAGCAGGAAGTAGAAGAAAAGCCTTTCAGAATTCATTTTTCCTCTGTGACAAAAGTGTGCAAACCCAAAAGTTTGCAGTGGACACAATTTTGTAAAGCTGGGTCTTGGCATTACTCCAAAATTCATAATACCTTAGGAACCAGGTGTGCTGTCAAAAATAACTGTTTTCATTTCTGTAACACTTAGAGTCAACAAAACTCATTTACATACATTATTTCATTTCATTCTAACAATAATCCTGTGAAGTAGGCAGGACAGAAACTATTCATGCTGTTGTTCATATAAGTAAATGAAGATTCAAATAAGCTATGATTACAATAGCGGACTGGGGGTGTAGCCCAGTGGTAGAGTATTTATCTAGCATGTGCAAGAGTTCAATCTCTGGCCCTGAAGAAAAAAATAAATAAAATTTTAAAAATAAAACAATAGTAACCAACATTGTATAGGATGCTGGTACATAGTGAGTTTAAATTCACATCCCCTCGATTGTTATGACAGCAACACCGCAAGGAAGCCAAATACTATCCCCAATTTCAGATGAAGAGGCAGATGAATAAAGGTAACTTTAGTAGGACTTCTGCCAACAAATACTGCCACAAAGCTTTTTGCAGAATACCCAGCCTTTAGTAACTGTCCCTACTGGTGGGCGGCTTCCTGGAGGGCTTGCCGTGGCAGGTGCTGCTTGCTGGCTCTAACTCCACCCCTTCCCTCCTACTCACTCCCAAACCCACCCGTGAGTCTCCACACAGCTGTGGAGAACAACTCAATTAGATATATTTGTATTGATGATTTGAATAAAGGTGATACAAATAACAGTACTGAAATTTTGGAAAATAGAAAAAGAAAAAACCACCAAGAAGTCTCATGACCCCCAACCTCTGTTAGTATTAGGCTAAGTTTCCTCTATCTTTCCCCTGTGCATCTGTTTTTCTCCTATTTGTAATCATAAGATAGACATATATATTTTACTCTTGAATTTTCAGTTAACATTGTAGCCTAAGCTTTTACTTTGTCACTACCTTAAACGGCCTTTAGCCCTATTAAGCGAATAAAATGTAAATAGCTTGCCGTTGCTCTATTGCTGGCGAGCATTTATGTTATTTCTACTTTTTGATGTGTGTAATTTTCCCCATAGCTTGAATTGCTCTCTAAGATAGAGTCCCAGAAGCAAGATGACAGGATCTAATAGCATGGACACAGTTTGGGCTCTCAATGGTACTAAACTACTTCCCTAGGGATGTGTCCTAACGTATACTGCCACCGGCAAAATAGGTAGCTTTAATTTTTGCTATTTTTTTGCTTAATACTTCATTGTTTTAATTTGTATGTTGCTGATTACCAGTATCTTTCAACATTTTCTTTTCTTTCACATGTTCTTTTTGTGAATGATCTCTTCATGGCAATTAGACTTTGATAGTACAGTTTCACTAAATAGTTAAAGCTATTATTAATTTCCAGAGCATGAAAGAGAAGTTTAATTAGGGGACAAATGACTTCTAAAGCCATATTTAAGTGATTTGGGAGTTCTTTTCCATGGCGCTTCTTATATAATGTGTCAGAGGTCGACACATGCACGTGATATGTAGAAAGCACAGTTAAATTCACATCAATGTCCATAAATGATTTTAAACTAACACATGTTCCCCGTCTTTATAGTTGACTGCTATTCTTATTAACTGCACAAAAGGGGAAAGGTGCTAGGTAATAGGATCAAATACAGACCCTAAAAAGTGAATTAACTTATTTTGGGTAAATCAAATAAACATGCTGAACCTATATCTATATTTATAAAATGAAATAATGCTAATCTTTATGCAGAGATGTTGGAGGGATCAAATTTGTATTAAGAAGTGAAATTTTTTTTTCTTCAGCTCTGGCTTGGTTTTGAAACACAATCTAAAGAGCTAAGAATCCCTAGTAAAATAATGCTTGCCAATAGAACAGCCAACGGTTACAAACTTCTCATTTTCTAATCACTATGCATAGTTCAGACATATAATATGGAGTAGATCATTTTTCTGTGTTTGGGGTTCAATATTAAGAGACTTGATAAAATCTTCCAGCACTTATTGTAGCACCCGTGAGAAACTGAAGGCACTGTCAGAGTAACAAGACATTATTGACTCCTGCTTGAAGATAAACAGGCCAGCTAAAAGGACTTAGCTTGCTGGAGACAACTGTTTGAGAGGAAGTGGGAATTAAGTGACTTACTAATATTTTTTTAAAGCTACAGAGACTTAAACACAAGATGTATGCTTAAAATAGCAGTAAAGGGCTTCACTCTAGCACTCATGATTCTCCAAAACATATCAACGCAAAGCACAAGGGAAAGTAACCCATGTTTAAAATCCCATCAGTCTTCCCTCACCGTATTCTTCAAGAAGCACATCTATCGGTCTTTATAAGACAGCCACAGAACTTCTTTTAAAAGAAAGAGAATCTGATGAAACAAAAAGGCAAGATCCAAAGACAGTGGAAGGACCTAGTGCACCAACATGTTCAAACATTTGAAGAAAACTATTAATTTCAAGCATATGTCAAAGGATGAGGAAGAGGGTATGATGAATTACAGAAGAACTGGTGTTTATGTCCAAGAGTTCCCTGGGCTGTCCTGTACCTTCTGGAAATTGTTTATGTGCACAAGTCCTGTGATCACGGGGCTGTGATTATCAGACGCAGACAGTGTGACAGCAGAGGAAGACATGAATCATCACCGCTTTGTATAGGAGAAAGCCGAGCAGCATCACCTCTGCCTCTAGTCCAAATGGACTTCTTTTCCACAGTCTAAGTTCTGATTACTTGGTGCTACAGGACAGAATGGGGAAGGAGTGGAGGACAGTTAAGGGATGAATTTTAACAGTTGGAAATTCCACCTCTTCTGAAAACCCTCCTCATTTGTGACATTACAATTCCTTAATTTGTAGCTAGCAACTAATACTATCCCACTTTTTCGATATTGATCAATTTTTTAAAAAATTCTTGAGCTTCCTCCATGCCCAGCACTGAATTTCTGAAATGGTCCTAGCTATCAGACACCTTCATTTCACTTTTATCCACTTTTTCTACATTATGAACCAAAGACAGGAATGGCACAGGCTGAGAGAAGGTGAGTAAAAATTGGTGACTTTCCTGATTTTCTAAGAACTGTCTACCAAGGAATCTGACTGGATGATTGACTCTTCGTAAACATGCCATAGTACTACAGGCATTTTATTATCTTGGGGGAAGAGTAGGAAAAAAGGCTAGACAAAGTTCCTTCTTGAACACATACAGAGTCCCATCTTTGGCAAGGTCTATAACATAACTGCATAGTGGAGATGCTCAACCTGTCTGTAGGTACTAAACAGAATAGGAATCTCGGCTGACCCAGCTAACAAGAGGAAAATGTGGGGAGTTGCAAACTCACCTATGTCAGTTTAGGCACTAGTTTGCTTCAAGTATTTAGTATTTTTTTAACTGAGAAAGACTTTATAACTCAGAATACATTACATTTGTTATGTCTGCCCCTTTGAGTATGATATAACTATTCCATATCTTACTGTCCACTCAAGGAAAGCTCTTGAATAAAAATGGATGGACTTACTGTGGTAAAAGTCAGACCATGGGTGGATCTGGGACTGGAGCCTCCTTTCATCTTTCTGGAGGGTCCTCTCCTGACTGAGCCTAAAAAGCTGACCCTCATTAACTAATGGAGAATAGATCAGGAAAACCCAGTTAACCACAGGTAACCAAGAAGAAAATGTTCCCCAGAATGGTGGGGTGTTTGAAGAGAGTTGGTGCTGTCTCCTGGTGTCCTTCTAGTGATTTGGTTAGAAGAAATCTGTCCATGGTCACTCACATAGAGGCAGGAAATAGCCCTGGGGTTAGACAAGGCCTTTATCCACAGCTGAAAGTGATGAGGCCTCCTGGCAGGACCCCAAAGCCGAAAGACTTTGTTTCCTGTCTTCTCAAAGTCCTGACCTCCAGTATTTAAGGAACCAATAACATTTTTTCATTTCTTAAGTCATTTTTCTCATGCAACTCATGGCAGCTGTTTGCCAGCTCAGCATTCGGACTAATTTGTTACAGAAAATGGAGTAAAGGGCTGGGGATTTAGCTCAGCGGCAAAAGCGCCTGCCTGGCAAGCGCAAGGTCGTGAGTTTGGTTCCCGGTACCGGAGAAAAACCAAAAAAAAAAAAAAAAAAGAAAATGGAGTAAATGCATGTTTACCAAATCTAAAGCTCAGTATGAGGCCTAAATGCTTGTGTGTGCTACCAAACAAGGTATATAATAGTTTCATCAACTCTCTGTATTACAAAATTAGGACCCTGGGATTCAGGACACTTAATTTTTAAATGGGCCTCAGTTTCTCATATTTACTGCATGGTCTAAATACTAGATGACCAAATATTCTGATAACGATCTTTCTTTCTAAAAATTCACTAAGAAGAAATATGATTTCTGCATTAGCTGCATATACATACATTAAATATTTTTTTCTGTATTTACAGCAACTGTGGGACTTACAGAAAACAATCTTGATACTCATTTGGGGACTGATCTATCTGATAATGGAGCGGCGCACCAGAAGAATACATATATTATATTCATTTCTTCAAATACAAAAATTTTGTAAGTACTCAAACCCATATGTGTCATGTTATTATCTGCCCCCACTTGAAAAAATGAGTAATACACAAGTACAATAGGGGGAAACTGTTATTTGATTGTCCCATCTGTAGCAAAAATCCATTGGAAGCCACATACATTTATTTCCTTAAAAAGAGTTTCCAGGAACTCTCAAACAAACCAAAAAGCTTCCCAAGACACAGCCAGCACATTGTTCCCTTGTCTCCTTTGAGGTTTTGTAGCACTTGTTGGTGGAGAAAAGTTATTAAGTTATGGCAACATTTTTTCAAGCTTAAAATCTCCTCAAATACTGGAGCTTGGGCCCAACTGAAGTATTTCACTGTGAGACTGTTTATATCCTTAGCCAAATGCAGCTTCCTGCCTTTGGAAGGAAGGGAACAGGCTGGAACAGTATAGTAAAAAGAATCTTATAGTATAAGGCCTTCTTGGATATCAAAAAGGGTTCGCAAAACCACATTGTGATGAGTTAAGTCTAAATGAATCAAAAACTTATGGCATACATTTCCCTAAAACACACAATGATTTTTAAAAGGAATGAATAAAAAAAAGTCCCCAACACAATACATTTGGTATATTGTCCATCAATATTTAAAAGAAAATATTTCAACACTTGTACCACACATACACAAACGGATATGTCCAAGTCTAATCTGAGAGTTTAGGCATATATTTTAGATGTTCCCAGTCTTGTATACCCACCTTCAGGAACCATTGCCAAGACCAAAACTAATTTAAGCACAAAAACACACATTTTTATTCAATTTTAAATGGTAAATAGTTCTTAGTTGCTTAACATTTTCTTTATAGAACACAAGCTGACAAACACCAACCACAATGGACAGCATAAAATAATATACATTATTTTCTATCTCTAATAATAACTCATTTATTCATTCTTTCAATAAATATTTATTGAGCATCTACTGTATGCCAGACCTTGTTCTGGTCTCAGGGGATTTCATAGTAAATATGACAGATGAGGTTCTATATTTATAGAGTTTATCATAACAGGAAACCTTCCTTGTCATGTTAATGTTGTGAGGCAATGCTTCAACTATTATCAAAAACTTGGATGTAGACATCTGGTTGACTAACTCTGTGAACCTCCTGAACATCTGGGATAGGAGGAGGAATAAAAATGTCCCAGAGGGCCCCAAGTAGAAGCTGTGTGAGGCAGGCCTCAAGCTCAGTAATGTTAGATTTTTAGCAAAGATGATATATAGAACGGTGTAAATCAGGGTTATTTTCAGGAAACAGAGAATGTTATGAAAGAAAGGTACCGTTCTTCTCAAACATCTCATCCCTACAGTGAGCATAGATCTTTAACCAAATGCAAAACAGCTGAAATATTCAACCAACATTTTACATGGTTCCAGCTCCAGAAAGATGCTATGAGGAATACAGGAGAGATTATAAGGCCTAAGAAACTGCTCAGGCACTGAAAGTTAGACTGAGCACTGGGAGGTCCTGGCCTACACAAGCACCATGTAACCACGAGGACATTCAGGCAGAACTCCAACTTCTAAAAATCATCAGTGGATTTCATCCTAAATCATGTGCCCCAATCCAACCATTGGAGGTCCCAAGCTCTGACCTTCTGACCCTCACCTGGCTCTTTGTATGGCTTTTCCTGTGGCTTTAAAACCCCCTACCCAGATAGACACCCTTCCTCCCAACATTCTTTGTCACAGCTTCCTATGTGCTTTCCGACTATTACACTCCTAGTGCCTAGAACAAATCTAAGTCGTAGTAAGTAAAACACTTACAATAGAGGAATATACGATGAATGGATTTCCCTGGGAAAATTCCTGATGTGAAACTTCTAGTCATTCTAAGGCTAATGCTTTCATGACAGCCCCTGGGGAGATGCTCCACCCAGAATTCCCCTATCCTCAAATCCCTGATGGAGGTCAATACAAATAGACTTCACAGTAGACCAGGAGTCAGGTTCAGTTATTCTGTTTACCAGTTTGTTACATTGGTCACCTGTGCAACATCTCTGAGCTTCATGGCCTCATCAGCTTTTGAAGATAGCGGTAGATGGGCTCCAGAAAGAACCTGACATATGGAAAACACTCCTTCTTTACTCATCTACTTACTTTATTTTATTTTATTTTATTTTGGTGCCAGGAATCAAACTCATGACCTTGCACTTGCCAGGCAGGCGCTGTGCCGCTGAGCTATATTCCCAGCCCAACCCATCTATTCTAAATTCAAGTCAATCAAGCTGGGGAAAAATAACCTCAAACCACTACATTTTATTTTAGAACTCTTAAACAAGAGTTTGGGACAGGCACAAAAAAGGCTGGCTGGTTTTCAGAAAACTGTTGTTGCTATATTCTTGAGAACAGCTATGTATGAGAACTGTCACCAGAGAGACTGGGGAGCTGGAAAGAGAGAGTTGGTTGTCCTAAGAAGATGTGAGACCCAGAATATGTCAGAAAGCAGTGAGGGCAGTGGTGTCCTGAGTACATGAGACGAGCTGCTGGAATATGGAAAGAAAGCATTGAAAATCTCTATAGTTTTTTAATCTAAATCTTCTCATAATCAAGCTCTACCAATATTTGCCATGCAACTTGACACTGGCCTCTTCCTCATCCTATCCATACATTGGAGGTTACAGCCTCAGTGATGGCTCGGGAAGGGTCTCTAGGGACAGGGTTCCCTTGATGGACCATGGGGCCAGGGACTTGCCATGCACGGCTGCTCATGTGCACCTGATTAGCAGTTTACAACTCATAGAAGCTGGTCTTCCCTTTAAAGAAACTGGATTGGAAAGAATATTAATAATACGAAGAACAACAAAGAGCAAGAAATTAGCAGAGTCAACGCCTCTTCTACTTCTACTAAGAGCTCCTTATCACCCACATTATGAGATAAAAAACTATGGTGATTTCCTTGGAACGGACAAATTAAATTATACTGCCTTCGTTAAAAATATCGTTCACAATATTTATCTCAGCAAGAGCAAAAGGGTCATGTGTACCATTAAACTAAGAATTTTGCCTAAAACATTGTTTCTTACAACCTTAACTCATCATGCCTTTAAATTTAGATAGTATATGGTCCCTATTTCATGTATCATTTTGATACAGTACAACATGTGTATATTTTATCTATAAATAATAGATATAGATAGAGGCACATGTTGATAAGTTTCTAACCAACATGCATTTTCCCTGAGGAGCTCCGAGACCCTGCTCTAGAGAGAAGTCTGTACAGGCACATCCGGCAGGAAATCACCTGGTTGCAATGAGCAGAGCCTGCAAATAGGAATCAGAATGAGCCAAGTCCTGTCTGGGTTCCTGGAGACCACCAACAGTCAGGCCATGAGACAAGATCCTCACTGGCAGGCATCCCAGAGCCGTTCAGTTTACATCTCAGAAAGGCAACCTTATGGTCAGCAGCCAGGAGCTGGGCCCAGGCAGGAAGATCAGCCCACACAGAAACCCACTAACATTAGTGGACATTTATGGCCCTGTTTACACCCTTTATGCATGGAGAATGTCAATTGAAGACTTTGAAGGTTGTGAGCAGGAAGTTGAAAGAAAAATGGAATTTGGCTTTTGGGACAGGAAAAGGGAAACTTTCAATGGTTGCAAGCAGTGTAGGAGAATGCAACAAGATAGGATTTGGAGATAAGAATGCAAGGAGCAGCAAGATAAAATGACTCAGTCCAGGGCAAAGACAAAAAATAAAATCAGCTACTATTTTAGCAAGGGAAAACAGGCAAGGAAGCACCCTGCACGCCAGGGTTCTGTTTGAGACATAACAATTAATGACATGCTAAACAATGGGAGAAAGGAATGCAGGAAAAAGGAGGTATGGTGTTTGGAATTCAGCCCTGCTTGGAAAATGCAAAATAGGCATGCCATGAAAGTTAGCCAAGCCCTGCGAGGAGGATGCTAGCTCAGTAGACCCAGTACATAATGAGAAGAGGATGATGTGTTTGCTCCATTCACCCTCCCACCTTTCCCCTCTCCTCCGTGCACTCGGGCATTCTAAGGAAGGAGTGGCATAGCAGGGGCCAATCTAAGGAAGGATGAGAAGGAAAGTGGGAGTATTTACAGAGGAGATAAAAGAAGAACTTGTACCAGGAGGATGAGAAAAGAGAATAGAAAAAATAAAAAGGAAAAGTACTTGTTGAGCAGAGAAGTCAACAAAACTGAAAAAGGACAGCAAAAATAATAAAATTTAAAAATTAATAACACTATCCATGACACTGTATTAACGACACTGTAGAAAGTCCTAGATCACAGCGTACCAAATCAGCACACCTCACATAAGGTAATTAGCTTGTCTTGGGGTGAGGAGGAACCGCCAAGCCTTATGGCATCTGGGCCATGGTATTTTTCTTACCCTTTTGTTATCAAACATCCAGCCAAGTTTCCCAAGACTTACCATCTAATTAACCATGGGGTCCTAGGACAAAGGTACCAGATCGTCAAGACCACAGGCCAGGAACTAGCATGTAAAGGAAAGAAAAGAATTTTCTAATAATAAGCAATTGAAAACATTCAAAGCCAACAGTAGGAGAAACCCAGCTTGAGCAGTCATCCTTGGAATAACGCTTCCTCTCAGGTGACAAGGGGCAACTAGTTGGATTTTAGGCTCTGTTACATTCTGTATCTTGCTGAGTATATTGGCCAATTCTCCTGCTTTGAAAAGATAAGCTGTTCCTTTTGTCATGAACTGCAATTATTGGAGCAAACAGCATTCTACTTTAAATCTGGCAAGTTAAATGTGAATTAAGCTCATATATTACTTAAGAAATTATTTAGAGAATTTTATAATAAGTTTTGACAACCTTATCATCACTGTGGCTGATAAATAAACTGGATTTTTAAATTCTTTAAGGAATTAAGAATAAGTAGACAAGAAGAACTGTTTCTTAGTACCTCAGTTTTGTTTTCTAATTTTACATTAAATATGTTATTTGATAGTACACTAAGCATATTGATTCAACAACAGTGAGACCATTT